TGAGCAAGAAGAGATGCACTATGGCAAGGCAGACGCAGGAAAGGAGTCCAGCAGTTCCCTGCACAGAGGATGTTTCCCTCAGGAGCACCTTGGAAAACATGGAGGAAGCACCCAAAGAAGTGTTTAAATCTAGTACCTTTCCTTCATCCTCATCTCAGGGAAGGAAACATGTGAAGCAATGTTAAGAAATTACATGTTTTCTGCACTAACAGACAGCTACAGCTCTAATGTTTCTGCCTTCCTATCTCTTGGTTGTTGCATCTGCATCCGTGCGAGAAGCAACTCACCTTCTTCTTAGCTGTCTTCCGGAATCGTCTCTTCCGTACATTTTTCAGGGGAAGAGTGACTGTGACAGAGGAAACAGATTGCATGGGTCAGGCAGATGGCCTAATGGGAGCTGCGTGCCAAAAGGGAGAAGATCCCTTCAGGAACAGAGAGAGTACTGAAAACAGAGCAGCAGCACAGCCAGAACATGGCAGCAGTGAGTGCACCGCAGAGCTGTGGGGACACTGAGGTGGTGGGATGGAGGGGTTTGGCACAGCCTCGACTCACTGCCATGGTTCCAGATGAATTTCTTCTCTCTGTCTTTGTCCTTCTTCTTGTTTGCCTTGGGGTCAGTGCTCACAGTTTGCTCTTCCAAAGGGGGGTAGAGATCACCATCCACAGTGCAAACAAGCATCTGGAATCCCCACATAAAACACAAAGGGTGTTTACAATAACGCAAGGATAAAAGTATGTGAAAGCTTTTCTGGAAAATGAACAGTGACTGCCCACCGCATGTTGTGACCCAAAGGGATTCATGGGCATGGGGTGTGAGAAACACAATGTTTCACACCCAGCTCCTTTTATATCTAAACACAGCAACAGTTAGGCTGTTACAAGGACAATCACAATACAATTTCATGCTTCAGAAGTGGGATTTCTAAACACCAAGCAGGGTGGGGAATTTTAAAATGCTAATATTGTGAGAATACAGAAATTGGCTGTGTTATACTGGGTGTCCAGCCACCAAAGTGTACATGCGTTTTCCTGGAGAGGTGAGCAAGGAATTAAGCTGTTAGGGCAGGCAAGAAGGACAGCCCATACCTGGCAAATATCTGCTGTCTTATAGAAGGTTTTCTTGTCAATGGTTTTTAAGCTCTCAATGATGCAGGGCAGATCCACCAGCTTGGCTGCCAGCGGCACCCGGTCTACGCGGACAATCCCATGGCGCCCATCCGCTGTGGAAAGCCATGGGAGGACACGTTAGCGCTGTCGCTAAACAGCTAAACTGAGTGACACATTTCTGGGCAGCAGAAATTTCACGGGAAAACACACGCAAGTTGCACAGCTTCAGTTGTGGACAGTCAGAGGAGTTTTAAGATTCCCTGATTCCGCTCACTCACCATGTAGCTCAATGGTGAGCCTGTCCTTCAAATTGACATTCCCGGACTGTACTGCTCGCCGCACAGTGGAGGCATATTCCTGGGAAGGTTGAACAGACTTACGTCAGGACTGGGTGTGCTTCCTCCGAGAATCACCTAAGGCTTCTGTCCAACCTACACAGCTTTAAACACCCCTGCCATCCCAATGCACAAAAAACCTGCAAGAGCAGCAATGAAAATTGCACCGTCCTCCCAATACCATGTTAACCTGTGGCTCTGGTACTCCCAATGCCTTTCACAACCCCTGACACAATACAGCTGTGACAGTGGTGTGAGGCCCCTGACAGACATACCCTGCTCAAGGACCACGGTGCTGGGGGAAGTTACAGCTCCCCTTACCAAGCTCTCGTGGCCTCAGCTGGACACAGTCTCAGCTTCAAGCATCTAAAAAATAGCATCAAGTGCACTAACAGCCATAGCAACTGAAGACCCAGCACTTGCTAAAGCAATACCCTTACAGAAACTTCCTCCCTAATCCTCTAAGCTGTCTTCTGAGCCTCCTGCTCTGTTGCGGGAGCACCTCTCAAGAGGAGGCCGTGGCAAATCTGTTCAAATGAGTGGGAACGGGCTACCCAAGGCCAAAAGCGCCCTGACCCTTCCATGTCCCTTGCCAGGTCCGCAGATTTCCCACTGACTTCAGCAGCCTTGCTAATCCCTCTCCCAACCGCCGTGCTCGCCATGCAAAC